TGCACCCACAGCTTGCAGCCGAGACGCCTAGGGTTCAGGGTTTAGGGTTTAGGGTTTAGGGTTTAGGGTTTGGGGTTTGGGGTTTAGGGTTTAAGGGTTTTTTGGTTTCAGAGAGGAGCACTCAGGGCTCTGCCATGGAGCCATACTTCCGTGTGCAGAGGCCGATGAAGTCCTCCTGGGCTGCGAGACTGGTCAGGACCTGCTTTCTCTGTCCCTGATCTGAGGCAGCTGCCACGGGCTCTGGCTCCTGCTTCGGGGGTGTGTACGTCCGGCATCTCTTGGAGAAGTCCGGTGACTTGGCGAACTGCCAACCGCGCCCTGAAGATGGCTTCTTCGTGCTGGGACATGCTCAAAACTGTCAGCAACCTGCTTTGATACATGTGTTCAACCTTCGCGAAACATTGCTGAGCCCTGCGCGGATTTGGAAGAAGAACCCTCTTTCAGTTCGCCTGGGATGGCTAGGCTATCCGTGTTCTGCACAACATACAAGCAGCAGCAAGGGCGAAACAGACATGTAGACAGCTACAGCCAAGGATCGGCTAACCAGCAGGGAGACTCTCTGAGGAGCAGACTCTTCAATCGACAGTGAAAGCAAGGGTTTCTCCTGTCCTGCGGCAACTGAGATCATGAGATGTTGCAACGTCAAGCTGTTGCTGCGACAGCTATTAGCTTGTCGGCGTTGCTGGGAAACGCACCACAACAGAAATCGCACGCATCAAAAAAGGATATGAAATTCGAGTCTCCGAAGCCAGCTTCCCTGCCATGAATCGGTTCGAAGCCAGGCTCGAAGTCTGGCTCAAAGCCATGATTGCACCCAGGCTCAAACTCGGGTTCGAACCTAGGTTTGAACCCACCCCCCACAAAATCGTGATTTCGCTTTATGCGAGAAATCGCGGCCAAGAAAACTCAATAGGGAGGAGGCATCGAATAGGCGATCTTCGGGGAAACATTCGGGTGCCCGAACATGGCTGTGGAAATACACATGTAGAAGCATGCCCCAGGCACCGGTATGCTCCATCAAACGTGTTGAGCAGCAGTCGCTGCAATCTTTGTCCTGGTTTCTTGGTTGGCTCCTGCGCAGCACAAATTGCATCCTCACTCTGTCACAGTGCATGGTAAAGGCTGCAAACGGCGTGGACGAAACCCTCAGGCAGCGACGCTGAGCATGCGGAAGTCGTTACGAAGAAAAGCCTGGTCACTGCGAAAGCAGGCTATCAGGATCACAACAGCCAATCCAACCGGTCTCGAGTTTCAGGTGTTTACCCCTCCGCGCGAAACACATCTCACGCCAATCGACAGCATGCTGTTCTGAAGACTGCCCTGTCACAAGCCAGGCATTTTCAACGGCACCCCCAAAAAAAACCAATCTGTGGACGTGCTTTGGATTATTGTGGCTTGCAGCTCACTGGGGCTCATGCACGATGGTATCCAGAAAAAACGCTGCCACACCTAGACCCCTAAACCCCCTAGGCCCTAAACCATAGGGAGCCATGATCTCTGAGCAGCCCCAAGCATCGCAGGGGCACCTTGAAGGCTTTGCGGTCGAAGTCTCGCAGGCTCAAAAAGGATCCGCTTTGTGGTGGCCTTTGAAGGTGAGATTCCAACAGGCCCGAAAAAACACAACCACAGCAGAGCAAATTACGTGAGATGTGTATGTCCTATCCCCTACACTTGCACTTACATATACATACGCGCATACATGCACACAGGCCAAAGTGCCATGCATACTACACATACATGAACATCACATGATTGCCTGCACAGGCTTGGCAATGCTGCGCAGACGGAATCTACTCCGATGTCAATCACAAGTGCCTCAGGATGTGAAAGAGATCTCGAGCTCCAGTCTCGTTCAGGAAGCCAGCCTTAGGACCACCAGGCATTGAGCTCAGCGCTTAGTAGCATCCCCGTTTGTCGCCTTCTTGCACGCTGCAACGAACTGGTCCTCGTCTACATGGCCCACCCCGTCGACCTTTGCAGCGCGACCGACGAAAGGAAATAAGTTAGAACGGCTTCTCCCAGGCGAGGGCATCCACCCCTGTCATCCAGGCACGGAGCATGTTGCCATACTCCTCTCAGGGCTCTGGTCTCCCACTTTGGCTACGAACCCTGAACGCCAACACCGTGAGACTCCAAACTACAGTCCGCCAAAGACGAAAAGATCAAAAAGCGCCCAAAGTCCCAAAACCCCTCGGCAGGAGACACATCCGATTTTCAACGCCTGCTCGAAGCAAGCTCGCATCTCCGACCAGATCGAGGCAGTGGCCTGAAGACCAACGGAGAGCATCTGCAAATTCAAACGTTGGGTTTAGGGTTTAGGGTCTGGAGCACTGGGGCCATCTCTGCATAAAGTTGCGGAACCTCATCCAGATCGGAGAAGCGAAGCACCCCGATGCCCTCTGTGTCGAGCTGGTCCCACAAGGACTGTCACGCGACTTGCATCCACTGATGCTGTCAGGCCGCACAGCGATGCTGGACAACGACGACTCTGGCCTGCAGGTCTCCGTGGAGGCCCAGCCTTACCGGAGACGAAAGGAGACCCTACAGTAAGGCCTAAAGAGATCTAAAGCACCAGCCCAGCTTCATGGGTTCCCGGCAGTCGGAAGACATGGGTGAACTCACCCCAACTCAAGCGATCTCGTCCAGTCGGATCAAGGCCCTGGAGTTTCAAGTCAGAGTCAAACACCCTGATTACGAACATCTTCAAAGCTTCTCCGGCCTCCCGCCAGGCGCGGAATAGGGAGCCGAACTGGCTGATCATCGCAGCTTGGAGCGCCTCCTTCGTGCTGACCCTGGCAAGGACGGCTTGAATCCACTGCGGACCATGTCAGATACAGAAGCCCGCAGATGCTCATGCACATAGGCGCACTCAACAGAAGAGAGCAAGAACAACCACAGACTGCGGCCGTTCTACGAGAACAGGCTGCGACAGCAGAGATTTTTGGGGATGTGCGAGATCAATCAATGTCACTATGTCACGTATCACTTCCTACGGCAACCCCCAGGTAAAGATCGCCGGCAGACCCGAGGCGCCCGCGATCTGTGCCCACTCGGCCCTGGGGAGGCTGCAGACTGCAGCTGGACTCTGAAAGAGTCGAGGCATCATTCGAAGTATCATGGAAGTGCGGGCACTTCAACAGAACTGCTTTGCTCAGGATATCAGGAAAATATGTACTTTACGGTTCCTCTTTGCCGATGGGATTTGAAGGAACGCTTGCAGAGCAACCATGCCCAGATTGCATTGAACAAGTTGCACGTAAGTATCTCGCGATCTGCGGCCGTCACCGTGTCTCAAACTGAGGCTGTTTTCCGGTCTTTAAGAATTTTGTGTGCTCTTCGGCCGCCTTCTGCGTGTCGGCTCCTTCCTCAGCCTCGTCTCCTGCCGGCAACATCGAACTGATTCAAGTCAACAGACATGCTTTGGCTCGTGGCTTCGACTTGCAAGTGTCCACTCTTGAGACCGTTTGGCGGAGCTAGCAAGACCTGCTATGCTCATGCTGAAACGATCACATATGTGTCCTTTGGAGAGAGCGGGAAGATCAGAAGTCTGCCACCTGCAAGCATCATACTCTGTTGCAGGATCCCCTGTCTAAAGCACGGCTTTCACTTGTCGTCTGCTTCGGATGATCTTGTTATATCTTGTTCTGGAGCAACGGATGGCAGTCGTGGCCGTGTCAGAGCGCGCAGAAATCCTGCCTAACGTAAGCCCTCGGGTCAAAGTCCTTGAGGGTGATGTGCGTCCTTGGAGGGGGGGCTAAAGCTTAGACGACACCTCCCTGTTGCACTCCCAACGAGGCGCATGGCGTTTTCAACTCAGCCCCGGGCGCCCCCGGCATACTTATGAACATTTTGAGCAGCCTCAACGACGCATTGGTCGCACAGCACACTCGACATGCCGGCCAACAGCCGTCGTATGCCGAAAGATGCACGTAAGAAGGCTTTGATCAACTGAAACGACTTCGTCTGGGTCTCGATTCAAGCTCAGGCTACAGCTGTCTAGCATCCATTTCCAGACCTTAGCTTCTCCGGCCAAACGACCAGCATCATGAAATCTTGGCTTCGCTTGGTTTGGGTTTCAGACTAGTTCAACAAGCCACCATTGACAATTTCAGTCTGCCTGCGGCGCCCCGTGTCATTGCTGACAAAACTATTCCGCCAGCATCCCGCGCAAATTCTCGTGTTGCACAGCACGGCACACTGTGCCCAGAAGACACTGCTTTTCGTTGATGCCAAGTACGGATCGCTCTTGATTTCAGATTCCGAGTGTTGACTCGAAGGCCTTAAGCCGCCGACCAAGCTCATGGAGGCTGTCTGCAATCTCACTCTCGGACACTTTGCCTGCAGATTCGCTTTGGGTGCTTTGCTGCTCTGCGAAAAGGGGGTTCGGGAGTGTTCCCTCCTTCAAGGAAAGTTTCGACCCCACGCCTGCGCCGTTCACATCGATGGACTCTTGCCATGCGAGCAGCATGTCTCCGTACCTGGTGCAAGGTCGCCCAGTCATAGAGCTTCGCTTGGCACAGCTTGATGAGCAAGGGCACCGCTGCATGAGTGCGATTTTGAAAGAGCTAACCATGTTCCAGACCTGTCTGCCGTACACAGTCGAAGGCTGTCTTTCGGACAGCAAGCACGAGGCCGCCGCATCCGGATCAACGTCCTGGGTTGGGCAATGCAGGGGATGCGAAGTGTCATCTCTGTGACTGGTTTTATTGCAGGAAGATTGATCGGCCCGGATTCGGCTAAGGTGACGAAGCCCTTGCCGGTCGGATCGAGCTCCGTCCAGAGCCTCGCCAGCACGGCACGCATGCCCCGAAAAGAGCGTTTTGGGACACCAATCGCCCAGAGACCCTTCATCTTAGAGCCCAGCTTCTTCACGTTGCCATGGTAGCCCCATTTCCGCGCTGCCTTGCAAAACCTTGCGGCTCGTAGCCCATGTCATCGCGGAGTCACGGCTCAGAGATGTTCAGAGGGGGAGCGGATGGAAGGACAGGCGCCCTTTCTTCTCCGAGTCGAGCAGGCGCCACCCAGCCTTGAAAGGCAGTCGCACTCCGACTGAGCACTCAGATCCACTCAGCGCCGCCAAGCAGCTAAGATGGAACCAAAGCGCGACTTCAAGTGGGCTGCGAAGCCGGGAATGCCCTCGAAGCAAACTGGCTCTAGGCACAAAACAGGCACATATCCAGGCACCTGGGCACCCCAGAAGCTGCAGTCTTCCAGGTCGCGCGTCTCCTTGATCAAAGCCTGCACAAAGAGACAGATAATATCTATAATATATATATATATATATTTATTTATTTATTTATTTATTTATTTATTTATTTATTTATTTATATTTATATTTATACTTATATTTATATTTATATTTATATTTATATGTATTTATATATTTATATTTATAACTATATTATATTATATTATATTATATTATATTATATTATATTATATTATATTATATTATATCATATTATATTATATTATATTATATCATATTATACTATATTATA